CAGACCACTTAAAAAATATGTGTTCTCCTTGCCCAAGCTATAATGAATATACGCTAAATAATATTATTTACATTGCAATATGAAATGCAATTACATAAACTATAAGCCTCTCACTTCAGGGGGCAAACTGAAGAAATTCATGATCATCATCCACATTAATGTGCATTTGTGGGATTTGTACAGCTATGTTTTTTATATACCAGTTATGAGGTACAGCTGGAGACAGGACTGTAGATTAGATGGTCCTTTGGTTTACTCCAGACAGTCACACGCTTACATTTGGCTAGTCTGCAATGGATATGATACATGGGCATCCATGCGAGAGAGCATGGTTTATGGACTAAGTCTATAGCTACATAGTAAATTGACAGCAGCACCCTCACACTTCACTGGTCTACATGAGTGTCCTCCTAAACTGGAATCAAAGTAGCTATGGCACTCTAAGTGGGATAACTGAATTCAGCAGTCCTAATTAGTCCATCTACTCCACAGCCACATTTTTTCTACTTTAAAAGGCATGTTAAGCAGCACAAGACAACAAACTTGATGGCACTGTTGCTCAGCATCATATGTTTGCTGTGTTGTCACAACCTCAATTTGGTATGGAACCCAGAAACTCATGAATTTTAAAATGTACCCTGAAATGGACTTGTTGTTTGACTTCAGGCCACCTGCAAAGCTTGTCTGTGCCTCTGTATCCCCAACTTAATATCTTTCTATCTCCCAGTGGTCATGAGAGGAGTAATTAATCTTTGTAGAACACAAGACAATATAAGGGAGTAGGTAAGATACAAGGCTCAGCCTAAATCAGTATATGCTCTTCCACCATTCCCACACCCCTCTGAGCAGTTCAATAACTTGCCCTACTCACACACAATCACAGTTGTTGCCAAGGGCTTATCAGAGCCACTGGGGCCAATATTCAAATGCATTGCTGAAGATACTGAAGCATGACACAATTCTAGCTCTGGCAGCTGCTTTGTTGCCTGAAAGAGAAAATTGAGCAATGATGCCCCAGGAACTCACATTAGCATTCTGACACCACTAAACTGAAAGGAAAGTTGGGGTTGTTTCTCCGCCTGTAGAGTTCACTCTCTTTCCAGATCTTCTTTGTCAGAAATAATTAATCCTAAGGCTTAATAAGATATGTCTGAAAAGCAGTATTTCTTGACTTTGGAGTGGACTACAACCTACCAAAGATGTCATTTAAAAAAGTATTTGGAGAAGATTCCCCACAATGTGTCTCACAATGACTTTATCTCTGCTTTGTATTCGCTGAACATTAAACTATATCAATATATTCTGCTATTTAAAATGATACACATGCAGTATCCACAAATGAATTGAAACTAGTTCAGTGAAGTTCAGCTTTATAAATTTGTCAAGTATTACTGCCTCCTTCCTTAAAGTTATGAATGAACAATGTTATTCATGTACGAAAAAATAAATAGAATCTACTGATATTTGCTCTGCACAGACTAAGGAGGGGAAGAATTTGTATGGAAACTCCTTTTTAAAATATTGGCACTGGAGATGAGGCAGAAACGTTACAAGTAAAGTCTAAAAATACTTATTATTTCTCTGCACATTTTCTTTTGAATGAAACTATAAGTAGTTAACATCTTATATGGTTATCAATTTCCCCTGCCCCAAGCAATGAACAAAGGTGACGTACCCCAAATTCCATTATAATCCTTATTATAATTTCAATATCTTTCCTTATGTCACTGCCTACCCTTCAGTACTATACCTTTGTCCTGCTACACTGAAACTGTTACATGGTGTTAAAATATTTCTCTCCTTCATAACTTATACTTCTCTTCCTCTATAATTGGAGCTTTCCAGCTCTGTATCATGTCTAACTTCAATCTCTTTGATATTGGCTTCTCTCTTTTTATCTCTGTAGTGTTCTACAGCTCATCCTGGTTTATAACTCATAGTATATTATGTTATCATTTATTAAGCTTGCTATGCCACAGTATGTATTTGTTCCCTCCATTCTACTATATTGTTCTTGTAGGTCCTGGAAGACTTCCTCTGTTACTCCCATTTTGTATTTTTCATACTTTATTCTCTATTTTTATCTTTGCCATTTCATGCAATCTCTTTAGCTCTGCATTCAAGAATAGAATGATGAATTACTAAATTAATTCAAAAGATCTCCAAACCAATGTTCAAGTACCAGAATCCTGCTATCAATGGAAAAAGCACTCATAAAGTAAAAATTTAACTAGCCACTAAACATTATAAGCCATAGCAAAAAAAATAAACAAGCATAGCTTTTCATGGCAAAAAAAGGAGCCTACGAAAATAATCACAAGGCTTTGTAACTGTCATAAACTAAAGGAAGATATAGTTAGACCAGTATTCATTCTTTCCTAAGCAGAAAATAAATTCTCTGGATACTAATTACTGTAAAGTATCACTATAAAATATGCATAACAAGGTGGTGGCGGTGAGAAACTGAGAGAAAGAAAACAGAAAAAGATAAAAATTAAATGAGGATAGGCTGAATGCTACTGTATGTCCTCCTATAGTTAAGATTGCCTAACACTTTATGAGGGAGAATTTTTCAACTGCTTGTAAAATTTTCAAATGTTTATGATTCAAATGGGAAATACCTGTGCTCACTGCCTGTGCTCAGTGTTTGTTGGGGGTGGGAGGGATGTGTTTGGAAAGTTTCAGCAAAAACAGTTAATCTGTTTTAGAAGCTGAAATCAGACAAAATATGTTGTTTTTTTAAACAATAAGACATACTGAAGCGGAGCAGCACTTCTCCTCCAAGTGTTTTTACTATTATCAAAAACCTTACTAACTTCTTATTCACTTACTTCACTGTCAAATTTCTCTTGCCTTGAGGATTAGATACATTAATGGACTCAAATGACTAAAATGCTAATTTAAGCACTACTGAGATCACTGAAACATCTGCTCAGCTGCTGCCTAACTTCATAGGTGCCTAAACTCCCTAGATAACCTAAATCTAAGACAGCAAGATTTCTTAAACATCTAAAATTGATACTGGATATGCCTAGCGCTGCCTACGTCCCAGCAGCATTGAGCAATTGGGTACTAGTAACTAGCTCATGACTAAAACCTACTTAGATTTACAAATTACATATTCTCAGAGCATGTATACCAGATCAGGCCTCATACACAAGGACAGCTGCAGAAGTTTCCCACATTTTACCTTGTGGTTAGAGAACTCACCTGGGATGCAGGCCAGGTTCAATTCTCTCTTGTGCCTGAAGGGATTTGAATCCACTCTACTCTACCAGGAAAGTACCCTAACCACCAGGCTAAGGAGTTTCCTGAGTTCACAGGTCCGCTACTACTTTCCTATTGAAGGTATTCCACTCTGCATGGAAGAATTCAGTGTTCAATCTGGTATGGATTGGAAGCCAAGTCTCGTCCACCAGTTCTAGGCTAGAACTGGTGCACTATGCTACTGTTATAATAAATATCTGATAATAAATACTGAATTATTCTATGGAAAGTGGGAGTTTTAATTAAATAAATAAATCAGCAGAGAAGATGAAGAATGTCCCTCTCCAGAATGCTCTACAAGTCTGGTGATAAGGTTTTGGGGTAAGTCCCTCCAAGGAGAGGAGAAAATTATGCCTTCATCTCCTTTATCTTAGGTGAGTGTTCCTGGGCTATTGGTTAAAATAACAAGGTAAAATAACAAGCTATCAGCACTGGCCCCTCTTTCTCTGGCGGCAGCCATATTTGTGAGGAAGGGATGGCTCAACTACCTAACCCCAGGAAAGTGTTCATGGCTATGAATGCCAAGCAGAGATAATTGCCTCACACCCTATATGATCCCATAGATACGGATGGAAAGGACCTGATATGGTCATTTTGTTCAGCCCCCTTCTTAAGGCAGAAAAAAATGGACGCTGCAGATTTTCCAGTTAGCCCCATAACTCCATCAAATTAAGCTCCGACATTCTCTTGGCACTTCTCATTAGCCAGTTTAAGCAACTTCATACTCAGTGTGCTATCTTTGCTGGATCTCATTCTTAGTTGTTTAATGCCATGCACCATTCCCCATTAAATAGGAAGTTTATGTACCTAAGGGCTGTGAATTCCACTAGGCATCAGGATGTGGCAGATACCACATAGAGGCTGCAAAGAAATGTTGAAATGATCTGGGAGAGTTCTCCTGGGTTTGTTTCCCTGGTAGAGAAACTTACCCAGAGGTGCCTGAACAGACATTCAAATGTTGAGTGCCTGAAGAGCCGAGAGTTTGCAGTGCTGATGCTATGCAGACATGCAGGCCCTGTGCCCACATATCAACATGCTGTCCTGGGAACAATTTAACCCTGGTTATTGCCAAATTGATTTTCCCCAGGAGCAGCCATTTTTATTTTAAGAGAAAAATACGGAATTCCTGTAGACTTGTGGTTTCTACAGGGAGAGCAGCAACTCTACTGAATATCTATATGTGGCCTGAATCCCGTCTCATCTATGCCCCTTCTGTGGATAGAGCCCGAAAGGAAAGAAGAATCTTAGAGAAATATATTATGTGACCATACAGTTAAGGTTGTATCATAGTGCAAGAGGGGGAAGGGGGAAGGGAGAGAATGAAGCATATTTAAACTAGTTTTTAATTTTTTGAGTTCTTCAGTTTGCAACTAGCATTCTTTTTATATGACCTATTTGTATTTAAGTACTTTGCTTAAATACAATGTAAATAGGATCCACAGAGAGATAGGCAGAGACTTTAGAATACATGGGATATAAAAATATCTAAACTTATATTTTAACCATCTTAGATTGCTTTTTATTGACGGGCATCAACTAGTTGAGAACAGAAACAGTAAAGGAGACTTAAAGTCACCATGAACCACTTGTATTTAAACATATAAGAAAAAGGTTAAGAGAAAGAAGCAATTTTAGAGTACCAGATTTCAACAAAGCTATTTAAGAAATAGGAGACAAGATCACAGAACTATAGCTAGCAAGTGCTTTGGTAATATTTTTCACAGAACACTTACCATTGTTTAGAGTCAGCATCACAGTTGCAGTAGTACTTGGCATCAGTACAATTGCGTTCAATGCCACAGGCACATTTTTGAATTCCAGGTCCAGAGCCACCCCAGTAGTAGTGCTTCTCATTGGCTTTTCCAACCCACCAGGTATATGGACTCCCATCTGCAAGGTACAAAAATGCAAGGTTTAATGTACCAAAGGTGGCAGAACTCCACAATGCCGCAGCTGGACACAGTTGACTAACATGTACATTGTATTAAAACCACCCAGCTAAGAAGCCATTTTAAATTACTTTATCATCACAGAGTAAATAGCGTTATCCTCAGTTAGAAGTAGGAGGCTTGATAGACCCAATAGATATATGTAGCAATATTTAGCAATATAGGGAAATATAAGAATACGAAGTTTGTACCAAGACCATTTCACAGTTTGTCCAATAACATCTGAATGTAGCTGAAAAGGGAACATATCTGTCATAAATGAACAGGCATTTTTTTCTATTGCAATTAAAAGGACACCAGTGGGAGTATTAACATGCTTTAGTTCCTTCCATTGTGAGCACTAGGAAAATGCACATTAGCCTACCTTAATGCGCATTAACTAAAGAGCACTCTTTTATGTGTACTCTGCGGGGGGTGGGGGTGGCTCTGAGAGCCACTCTAATTAAAGTACTTCAGCATCTTGTATACCAGTAACTTTGAGCTTCAAAATGGTGCCAGAGGTGCTTGAACTAAAGCTTGTTCAATGAGCCTTACATAAAGCACCTCCACCAGCATTTTGAAGTGTGGGGACACTGATACACAAGATGCAGATGCTGACTGAAGCATAGTAATGACCGTGCTCCAGCAGACTCAATTATACTGTAATTATAGCATGTCGGAGCAGCCTCCATGCTTGTGTACAGGCCCCCATGGCTTTTAAGTGATATTTAATGTACATTAGCAAAAATGCACAGTTTTTTAAAGTGACACTTTAATGTGCATTATAATAGGCTAATGTGCATTAAAGCATACGTGTAGACTTGCCCACTGTCCAGGGGAACCCTGCCCAAAAAACAAATCATCTTCCTTATCTATTCTAATACCACCTTAGAGCATTAATACAGAAAACTTAAAAAAGTTAATTTACTTTTCACTGTTTATGCTCTTTGTTTAAATTTATAATTGTTTCCAGTTTATACAATGAGAATAGGCTTCATGCAAATAGGCTCATGCATATTTTTAATTAATTTCAAAATCAGATTGCTAGGCATTAGATGGATGATGCAATATCTGGGCTGCACATGCTGTGGGGAAATAGGTATTCAGTTTTATTTTTGTTTTAAAGCAGCAATTTTTCCCTGGAAATTCATCTTTTTTTTCCATTGATAATGATATTTTCATAATCCTTTCTCCAGTTAGCCCAAAACAAAACTATTAGTATCAGTTCAAAATAAATGTTTGCAAAACTCCAGAGATGTCAGTTCCTTATCACGGTTCTTTATGCCCTGTGAAATGTTCTTGGTACAAATGCTGTAATCTGTTATTTCCCTACTTTGCTATAAATTTCCATATATAGCTGTTGGACAAACTGAGCTTCTTATTTCTAAGTGAGGATAACACTATTTTGCCCTGTATTGATGAGGTGCCTCCAGTTCAGGAAGACACTTAAACATGAACTTATCTTTAAAGCATGTCAGTAATTCCATGGACTTCAATAAGTTCCTCTACTGTTTTTGAATCTAAAACAGCGTCATGGAGCTTGGCTTTATGTAACTTCTACTTTTAAAAAAATCTTGTTTCCCATCAGTTTACTGTAAACAGTATTTTGCCTAAATTAAATTAAACCACTCATAAGTAATTGACTTATTAACAGGTTTTTTAAGAGGAAAGTCCTCCCTAATGAACACAGTGGGTTTTCATCTTTGAAATAAAAATGAAACATTTCAATCATTTAATTTCTATGCATTGCACAAATGAATCTAAAAGCTGAAACTGCATTCATAACCCTAAAAATATCCACCTGACTATTTGTGCCTATCAATTAGGCTGCAAATCTACTTCCATTCTACAGATTGGTTAAATTGACTCAGAGAGTCCTAAAGAGGACTGAATTGTGTGAAAAGAGTGGAACCAAATCATCATCGACTCCAAGATGAACATGGGTCGGCAGTGTGGGGAGGCAGTTAGGAAGGCCAACCGCACCTTGTCATGCATCCACAGATGCATTTCAAGCAGGTCAAAAGAGGTGATCCTCCCCCTCTATGCGGCACTGGTCAGGCCGCAGTTGGAGTACTGCGTCCAGTTCTGGGCGCCGCACTTCAAGAGGGATGCGGACAGCAT